CCAGTTGCAAGCAGTCCAGTTGCAAGCAGTCCAGTTGCAAGACTATTGCCAATGGTATTGGCATGTACTTCATGTGACAGAGAAGACTGCCACATCCCATAAGTACGATTAATTGAGGGATTTGTTAAAAGTTAAAAGAAGTTGGATATATTTTTATGAAGTTTGCGGAATTTTTCATTTTGCTATGTTTTGTGCCATTTTATATTTAATTTACTCCTAATGTATTTCCAAATATCGTGAACTTTATTTCGCATGTATTATTTTGTTTACATTGTTGTAGCTCTTTTAGCTTCTAGATCAGCGGTATCATAACCAAATATTTCTTTGGATATTAGTATCCATGCAATAATTTTCCCCAATTTACATTCATTAAAATGTATTTCAAGAATGCTGTCTTATCAATAAACCACGTCCTTCTGGAATTCCCCCATCTACAATCCAGAGAGATGAGAGTATCTAGGGAATGAAATCCTCAATGCCATTTTTTCATAGTTATAAAGAAAAAATGATAAAATGTACAAATATTGATTCTTTCTCCGATTTTTAGTTGCCTTTAATATTTTAGTCACTCATGATCTTTGTAGTTTATATGACTTAAATTAAAAATTATTCTAAAAATGATTGTCCATTCTGATCAATTGATCCTATCGTTGATGTTAGATCTATTTGCGCCATGTGGCATTAGTTCTCCATAGTGCTTTGCGCATGTTCAGATCCTGCACGACGTGTATGCGGGCTTTCCCCTTTCGTTGCCACCATCAGAGGGCGATAGTGGTGTCCACACTACCAGTGTGGTGGGTAGTATGGCGGCAGAGCTTTCTAGCCTATTGCAGCCCAACAATGCAGCAAACTCTCACAGTAGTCTAACAGGGCAACCTTGAGCCGAATGCGTCGCCTAGACCGAGGTCACATGCAGGCGCTCCTCTGTAGTCTCTGGTCGTTGTCATAATTCCCCGTACACTTACTAAGACGACATTGACATCTCGACAACGAAATTTAGACGACGTTGAACACCTTGCACTCGAGTCGCCAGCAGTGAAAATCTTTATGCAATTTGTTACTCAATATAAGATATTCAAATAGTTTAATAAACATATTTTTTCAAAATACTAATATTAATAAAAATCGAATCTTTTTGGTTAAGTAATACTTGGAACTTATAATGTTCATTTCATTATGAAATTGATTTTGAACTATAGTAATTTAGGCCCTTCTAAAGAGTTTTTAACAGAGTTCATCAAAGATTAGTCTCAACTAATTAGGAAAGCATACGTTTTGTACATAATATTATTGAAGATTCACCTGTTTACTGAGCAGTACACAGAAGAAAACCTAGCAGACGCAGCGTCTTTGCACGGAATAGGATGTATGTTCTGCATTCAAGGCACAGTTCTCCCTGATCCTTTTTTCATGAGAATTGCTTGAAAAAGTGAATGCCGCAAATTAGAGGATTTCAGCGGGTTACAAAGTAGCTTGGGACTCTGTACCGGGATTTTAACCGTTTCTTGTTGCGGATCTTCTGGCAAATCGTAAATCCTAAACGCACGCCTTTTCAGTTTACTTAAAAATACGAAAAAAAGAGAGAGAATATAACTGTAACATGTTATAGTCAATAGGTGTAAGGTAAAATGACACACTTATGAACACAAATGAGTGTTCGCACATTTTTAACACAAAAAAGGGAATACGTTCGAAATATGAAGTTCACTTGTCAGTTTGTAAACGACACCGAAACTTTTTAAGCGTTTTGTTACACTTTAATTCTTCCAAGTGTTTTTGTATTCACTGGGAAATACTTATCATGAGAAAACCATTCAGACTAGTGAAGTAATTGTGAACATTATGAATTTTTTTATTTCTTTCGTAGCCATCCTTTAATTATAGCAAATTTATAACACCTGGAAGACGAAAAAATCAGCTACTCAACGATAATTAAGTTCCTGTTCGTAAAGATCATGCTGTACACTCTTATAATAATTTTATAATGTTTCCACACTTACATATTTCCTTATATTATTTTATATATTTATACTTACTTAAGCATTCTGGAAAGTACTGAACTGAGGTACTTGCCAGATAATTATTACTTGTGAGTCAGGGAGAGACTGTGAATATAGTTTCATTGATGTTGAATTTGGGACTGACATTTGTATATATCCATGCTGAGAAGAGAATGATCAGAGGTGCAAAAACGTCAATACAAAAATGAAACTAATATAAAGTCTCAATCGAGTGACATAGTACTCTGGCATGTTTTCACATAAATTTGATCATCCGCTGGATCTATGTAATTACTTCCATTATGGATGGTGGGATTTACTAGAAAAAAAAATCCTTATAAAAATATCAATCGAAACAATTTATTTTTACTTAAAAGGGATTGACTCCGTCAGGGCGCACATGCTAGCCACGCAATGGATGGACGACATTGGACGTAAGGGAGATTTATTTTTGACTAATAACCTTTCGCGAGCACAATAAATGGCATGGCGCCGCGGGCTGCCAGTTGAGCAACCGTGCTCTAGACATATAAAACTGTTGGGGCGTGTGGGCAAGTGAATCAATTTAAATCGTTAAACGTCATCTGGTATTACTCGCGCAACTATTCTTGAACGATGGATTGAAGAAACCTGGGTAGAGTGGGAGCATTAGTTACGAAATTGGCCACTAGATTTTATGAAGCAATGCGTCTCTGGAGAATGAGTCATGCCTTCGCAACGTTCTCAATCATTTGCGTTCTAACTTTCTCAAGAGTTCGAGGTATCTCCTGTGTGAATCTTTACCCGCTTCCGTCATTTCTTTAGATTCTTTTGAGAGAATATCAAATAGAAATTCTCGTCTTCAAAAGAAATTGTTTCTATTTCGCGCCGGTGAAGATGTTTTTACCTTTATCTGTTTATTCTGCTAGAGAGGGGAAGCAAGGTTATCGTTCAAGAAAAGTTGCGCGAGTAATAATGTAAAAGAACACCCAAATAGTTATGTGGATTTTTGATTTTGGGTTGGTGATGCTGGCTTGAATATAATTCCTGCGGCGAGTGTTATAAACATCTGCATTGCATGAAAGTAGGAATAGAATAATTTTTTAACACAAATTAATGAAACGTAGGCGGCGAATAGAGCGAAGTACTGAGCGTCCCAAACCCAATAAAGAGCGTCAGTGGACGTTCAAGAAACGTTGCGCGAGAAATAATCTAAAAGAACACCGAAATAGTTTTGTGGATTTTTTGCTTTGGGGTTGGCGATGCTGGCTTGAATATAATTCCTGCGGCGAGTGTTATAAACATTGCATGAAAGTAGGAATGGAATATTTTTGTTAACACAAACCAATGAAACGTAAGCGGCGAACAGAGCGAAGTAGTAAGCGTCCCAAACGCAACAAAGAGCGTGTGTGAGCGGCGGGCGCTGCTCCGCGCCCAGTGGCGCCGCCGGGGAATCCCCGGGCGCTTTGCAGGCGGCGGGCGGCGCTTCGCGCACGGCGCGCGCCGTGACGGGCAACCCAGGCAGCGCATGCAGGGCCGTGCGTGTGCGCGGACGCCGCCGTCTGGACGCCGTCTGCGCCGCCGCGTGCGCTCTCAACCCGCTGCCCGGCGAGGACGAGCGCAGCGAAAGTGGCCTCCGATACTGAAAGGGAGGGAAACCAGCGATTAGCTGGGGGAGGGGGACTAGTAATAAATATCGCAGAATAAAAAAATGTTCCTTCCACTGGGGATATGCTAATTACAAGGTAATTAAGTATAAATTATGATGGAATTTTGTTTTATATTATCTAGTTAAATTACTCTCATATCATTACTCATATGTATGTAGTACGCTATTGAAATTATTACTAACGTTGTTCTCTTTACATTACCAACTCTTTAGTTAAGTCCTTTTCACTACTGATTTTTCACTGCACTCGTTACATTTTTCTGTCCATTACTTCTTTTTTTCTTTCTTCCTTTGTTCTCTTTCCTTCTTACTCAATACTTCCCAAAGTAGGAGGAATCTTTTTCTGCCTCTTTGTTTTCTAGTATAGCGTTAATTTAATTAAGATTTAATATTTTGGTAGGTAATTATAATTTTATATTCATTAATTACTCTGTTCTATTATTTACGACTAATATCTTCTCTCTACTCTGCAGATTAATTCATATAGTTTATTAGAAAATAAAATTTATGATTTTAGATATAAAATTCTGTGAATGAAGGTGAATTGTCTATTATTTCGTCCCCCCCCACATATTTGAAAAACGCCTTCCAATGGTGTCTGTAGTACCAAAGAAAACTAAACACAGGATGCTTTGAAAAACATTACCAGAGCCGAGAATTATTTCCAGGGCTTAGCCGTAACAGTTTATTGGAATAAACGTTAACTTATAGTAACTCGTATATACACGAGTGTTTGTGGCCACATGCCAACGGATAAAGCTACCGCAAATAAAACGCAGACTTCTCATTTTCGAGTTTATGGATGACCTTACCTCCGACATCTTATTTCACTTCTTCCCCAGAATTCACTTCCATTCCACTCTTCAGATCGCACTTCTTCCTCATCCATCACACAGAACTGTTTTTGTCAAGTGTTAACTCTTTTTGGTGTCAAATAAGTAAACTTTTTTGAGCG